TTGATGGGTCTCTGGGAGCCTGAGGAATTTGCATTTACTGTGTAAGTGGATACAGAGGGACTCAGGACCAGAAAGCACTTGTGTGTGTGATCTGGAGCTGTCTACACAGACTAAGGAAACAGTTAAAATTTAGACATATTTTTCTTTTCCTTCTCTTTACATAAATGCCATTCTTCTGTCTAAGGTTGAGTAAGCAGGCTTCTTACTGAGGTCTGTTGCTGCTGACTCTGAAATACAGAAGTGCTGATTCAAGGGCAGAAACATCAGAGTCATTCAGTGGAGATGGCTTGATTCAGTTTTTGAATATGACCCAGTAGTCACAAGTGCACAGTTGAGGTGAGATGCTTCGTGTGGTTTACAGCAGGTTCTCTCATTGATGTTGGCAAGATGTTTACAAAGAGCTATTACTAGCAGATTATGACCTTGCTGCAAAGTGAGAATGAGAAGATACTGAGGGGTCAGTCCATCCTCCTTTTGTTTTTCTCTCTGCAAAGTGATTTTTGTCCATCCTTGTTCTAGTTGTTTAATTTTGAACTGATATTTCCTGCAGCTTCTTCGGAAATGTCCAGAGCGTAGACTGGGAGCAGGGGAAAAAGATGCAGAAGAGATTAAAATCCAGGCCTTTTTTAAGGTAGGAAGTCACTTTATCCCTCCCTCTCATCCCTTGTGTTTGAGCCGAGTGATTTGCTTTCTGTTGATATTTGGGCACACTTCCATTAGCTGTCAGTGAGATCTTAGTGGTAGCTCTTCATTGCTCTATTCATGAATGTATGTTTCAATTCATGTTTAAAATGACATCCCTGGAGTGTCTTTTCTGGGATCTGTAAGCTTGCAGAGCCAGATTGTGCTGCTTCTACGTACAACTATACCTACATTTGAGCCACCAACAAATACCCCTTTGAAATCAAACTGCAGCAGTCAAAGACACTGTCTAGTGGTGACAGTGATTGCCAGTCAGTCTATTTGATGGCACCTCCATTTGCAGGATATACATGAATCCTAAGAGAAATTGAGGTTAAAGACACATTTGCTTTGGGTCAAGGATATTCCTCCTTGTCATTACCCATCTGCCAGAAGCTATTAGCCTTATAGCCCCTGACTGGCTTTGCACTGGAGTAAGAAAAGAACTTGGATGGCAGCAGAAATTGCTGGGAGGTCCACAGATCCACCTGGCCACAGCTGCACTTCAGTTCTGTCCCCCCTAGATACCGTTTGAGCTGTAGCTTTGTTTCTTGGTGTTCTGAAGAACAGCCTTAGACTGTGTAGAGTCTCTGTACTACCTGGCCTGCAGCAACTATGCTGTTTGCTTTGGGCCTTTTTATTTATTTATTTATTTATTAATTAGTAGAAATAAGACATGTTGCAAATAAACTGTAAGGGAGGCTGCAATCCTTCCTCTTACTTTTACATTTCATAAATAATCTTAATGTCCACCTGACCTGTTTGCTTGCTTCTCTTACAGGAAATTGATTGGGGTGCCTTGTTTGCCAGGACTCTGAAGCCCCCTTTTGTGCCCACTTTAAGAGATCCCACCGACATTAGCAACTTTGATGAAGAGTTTACATCACAAAAGCCAATCCTTACTCCTCCAGAGGAGGTTGCTCTCCTAACCCGTAAGGAGCAGACTGTCTTCAAGGACTTTGACTTTGTCTCCAGACACCTTGTAGATGTTTGATTCCTCTGCTGTAAGAAACATGAGCAGATGGTTTCCACCTTGAGAGAATGTAGAGAGGACTTGGCATGGGCAATGGAAAAGTCAACAGAATCTGTAGAACTGGTAGTGCTGATGACCGCAGGAAGAGGGTGCCCTGCAAGCTCAGTTAACCTACTGTGGATTTTTCAGCCTCCTTGGTTGGGAAGGATACTGCATGCCAATTATCTTTAAGGAGTAATTAATGTTTAACTGGATGTATCTTCTGCTGCCATTGAATATAGATGGAAATCTGGAATTTGAGCTGGACTTAACTTAATGAAATCAAATAATCTCTGCAAACCAGGTTACTCTTTGCAAGGAGCCTAAGTAAGTAGCACGGCTTTTTAAAGCTGCATAGTAGCAGGGGGAATGGCCATTCCTCACCTGTTTTCTAGAAAAGGTAAGCAGCAGTCTCTTTGTAATGATTTTATGCCTATTCCCACTCATAATTATGTGTATGCCAGAGAAGGAATGGATTTTAACACAACCAAGACAATGATGTTTGGGTTTGGTAATGATCCAAGTGATCTGTCTTAAGGAAAAGGTGTGAGTCTGTCTATTGGATTCTAAATCTTAGCTATTGTTTTTAATGATATAAAAAAGCCACAGCTTTGCACATGCTATCTTTTTTTGGAAAATAAAGATACCTTTCTTTATAATGAAATTTCAGCTTTTCATCTCCTTTGTGTTAGCTGAATGTTTCAGATCAGGGCTAACCACATTCTGCTCAACAGGCAGGGTTTTATTTTTCTCTGTAAGTGTTTCTAGTAATAATTTCTTCCTTCCTTCCTTCCTTCTCACTCAAGTTGTCTGCGTACATGTTGCGTGGTGTCATCAGTGGTCACATACAAATGATTGCAGTTGAGTTGTCTCTCCACAGATTTTATCAGTTTGTATATCCTGTATCTTGCTAAATAATGATAGTGTTAATATTGGAAAATCAGTGAGTTAAAGGTGATTTCGTTTGCCTGGTAACTTACTTTGTAATTATACTTAGTAAGATAAATTTTCTTCTCTTAAATTCGTAATGTTAGCTTGTTGGGCCAAAAAAGGAAGGGTATCTAGAAATGAAGCATCACACTGATGACAAATAGGGATGCACAGTTATTATTCCTTCAGTTTGTCTTCAACAGAAGTAGACAGAAGTCGAACTAACACCATTATGCTGTCTCTGGAGATAAGGTTTGGGCGCAGCTAGTGAGTCCTCGTTATTAAATCAAGGCTGGCCTAAGTGCTTCAGAATTCAGAGAGGTAAGAGCTATGTTGGTGCAAAACAGAGATAATTCACACTGAACCTGGACTTCCTATTTTCAAGTATAACAGCTTCTGCAAATTCCCACATACAAATATCCTTCCAGCCTCCTGCTCTGCCTTGCACATTTTCCTCACCGTGTTTGAGTAGCAATGGCTGGCTCCCTGTTGGTCCCGACAGCGCGGGTTGTGACTGCTCCTAAGCTCAGGGGCTCTGTAAGTGGTAAGTAGCAGAGTGGATTGTTAGCACAGGTAAAACCTAGAACTTGGGTTCAAAGAGAGAGGCGTAAAGAACCAAAAAAGGCACATTTAATGTTTTAATGTAGTTTATAGTAAAGTAAAAAGACTGTAAATTACCATGAAGGTGCATTTAAAAATAGAATTACCAAACAGAGCAAAACTGTGTTTTCAGCTGTAGAACCTGCTGACAATTTGTTATTTGAGAGATACCTGAAGAACCAGAAATCCCCACGTGGCAGATGAGCCACACTTCAGCAGACACCACACTGCCACAAGCAAACTGCAGAATCCTTTCTGGGTGGTACATCATTATTAAGAAAACAATTCTTAGTGTTCTGATATCCCTCCGATAGGAGTTTCTACCCTGAACAAACCAGACTAGCCACAGATTACAAACTCTGGAGTTGGTCAAAAAAAGGAATCCTGGTCAAAAAAGGAATCCTGCTGTTTTTAAAGTGCTTTTGGACTATCGTGCTGTATTAGTGACTACACTGTCCTTTCTTAAGTGCTTATCAACTCTAACCCTGAGTGCATCCTACCAGCTGGCCATATGTGCTGGAGTTAATAATTCCTGAGCCAAGGCAATTAAAGCACAAAACTTTAACTAAGGTTTTGTTGTGGTGCTGGTGTTTTGTTTTGGTTTTAAACAGAAAAAGGTCAGGACTAAAATTCACAACCCAGCCTTTTCTGCTTTTAAAGCTAAAATTGGTCACCCCAAACTTCCTTTTAGTTCCTCATGAAGACTTTTGAAGAATGACCTTTTATTACAATGGAAAACAAGTAAGCTCACTGCTATCCCAGGAAGCCACCAGCACCCTCTCATCTCAATGACACAAACAGGACCTAAAATCTTTCCTCTTGCACTGAAACTTTGTATTCTCTTATTAAACTTTTACTAGCATGTTGAGGTAGTAGTATTACCAACAGTGTTACCTGAGCTAAGCAAGAAGTACCCACCTCTGCTACCAGTTATCTCCCTGCAAGCTACAAGGGCCTGAGCATGAAGTTACCTGCAGAAATAATCTAGTAGGTAAGTATTACTTTTCTGTCTAAAGAAAAGTGGATGGTATTGTTCTTTGCTGACTTGATTAAAAATAGTCTGTGAACTGTTAACAGCACTATAAACTTAAAGAAAAAAAACCCCAAACAGTCAGGAAGCCGGTCAGGGCATCACAAAGTACAGGCTGATTGTCTCAGAAGCTGAATTTGGTGCCTTGCAGCTGTTTCTCATGCACATTAACTATTAATCCTCAAATTTTTGTGAAAAGCATTAAGTTGAGGCATGTGATCAAAGTGAAATTTGCTTTTGACTGTCCAAATATTTACTCAAATCTTTCTATTACCTGCCCAACAGTACTGACAAAAGGCACTGCAGTTCTCGCAGTGAGAACTAAGTGGAAGAAAGGCCACAGGAATTATATTGATTCTGGCTGTAATAGCTGCTGTTCCCCAGCAGCAAAACGAGAGGAAAACTTTGTGGAAGAGAAGTGACCACAGATGCTCACACTACTCTCGCATCTCTTCTGGAGAGATGTTGATGCAGTTAGCAAAAGGAAGTAAATTTACAGAGATACCTTTGCTCAGCCCAGAAATAGGCTCTGCTGGCCTTCCCAGAACTAGTATCTCCCCTTTAACAGTGTTATTCACATATAAAAAATAACCCTGACTACCCTTGAAATGTAATTTATGAGATGACCATACGGTTGTGGAACATGTTGCAAAGTTCCACACAAGGAAACAGCGGCAATCGCACTAGCAAAGCTTTACCCAGCAGCCTGCAGCTGTGCTGGCACTCTGTAGGTAGGTATTACAGTGACTAGACTGGCTCTTCGTTCCTCTGAAAATAGATTTTCTCCCATGCAGTGAGGTGGCACGAACAGAAGAATCTCCAGAGATTGAGGACTATCCCTTGGTCAAAGGGATTCTCCAGCTCCGAGTGCCGCAGGTAGGAGATGCGATGATGTGACATGAATTCCCAGGTGGTGGTGTTGCATGAGATCAGGTAGAGGTGTGAAAGCAGCAGCAACAGGACAACAGTGGTGAATATGACAATCAGGAGGAAGGACATGAGGAGGAGAATGTTGTGCTGCAGCCAGTCCCAGGACTGCTCAAAGTAGAGGCCTGACCTTTCAATTCAGAGGGAAATAAATTCACAGTCAAAGATGTAGAATATTTACATAAGCCAAACAAACTTGATGGCACATTTAAGTTTGATTCATAACTAGTGAGCTTCTGATAATCAGGTACTAGAGAGAGTTAAAATACTGTAAACTCTTAAGGGACTGTACTAGTAGTGACTTAAGTTTTAAGTATTTTAAGATGCTGGTTCCCCTGGCAGCTGAGAGAGACAATCCTCTTCAGTTAACTCCTCTCCTGAACAGGCTACAGCTGAAACCCCACCGGAGTTTCCAGTATTCAGGTTTGTAAACAAAGATCGTGTTACAGCAACTGAAGCAAAATTAGTTAACTTTTTGACTGATGTTAATTCTGTTAATTTAAGCTTAAAACAAAGATGAACAATGAAACAAATTAGGAGATTCTGCTCAACTACTGATCAGCTATGTGGTCCCTCAGCAGATTAGGGGGATCAGAAGAGCTGATCTCCAGGATGCAAAAGGGGGTGAAGATACAAAGCCCATCCAAAGCCAGTCCAGGCACTGATAAGTTCTACGTTAACGCTGCTGTGGGGCTGCAGGAGCACCAAAATTTTTAGCAATCGCAGAGGTCAAAGTGCCACCTCCAGGCCTTACCAAGCAACGTGACCTCCCCAGAGCAGAACTATAAGCTGCACGCTCAAGTAGACTATGAAGAGGGGGTGATTCTTCTCTCCTACACAGTTCTCGATCCAGGGACAGTGATGGTCGTAGCGCCGCACACAGTGCTGGCACAGCTGGCAGTGCTTGGCTCGCATTGGTTGCTGCAAAACAAAACCAAACGTGCACATGGTAGTAATAGACCACTGGTTCAACTCCCTGTTTGGCAGAAGAGAACATCATGCGGGATCGTCTTCCTCCACAGCAGTGCTGTCCCAAAAGCCCTCCATTTTGAGATAACAGCACAGCACAAACATTGCTAAGGCAACTAAAGGGGATCATGATTCCCCTGGTACAGAGCCAAATGAGTGAGATTCAGATGAGGTGACTCTCCCACACTACTGCTATCTGTGTATTTTCTTTATTATCTACCTATTTATAGGAAGCCCAGTGTGTAAAGGAGGGAGATAGAGCCAGTCTGTCCTATTCAGGAAAGCATGAGCAGAGTGTCGAGGTGAAAAACCAGGACCAGAGCTACTGAAGAAAGTGTGCAGGGTTGGGATGTCTTCATGAGACTGTGCAGAGGAGAGAAGTGTCTCTACTTCTGTGTGAATACAAGACACTTGCACAGGAAAGCAGCTCAAGTACCAGGAACAAAGATAAAAGGTTTGTCTGAGTAAAGCAGTATGAGTGTGCTCATAGGATGTGTTCCCTGAAGCACATATATAAGCTTTGTCAGCTTTTCCTCTTGCAGTAAGCTGGCTTCTCCTGGTAGATATTCTTCAGGAATTTATGGAAGCTGCAGTAATGCTCAATTCTATTAAACTGATAAGGATGGCTCTGAAACCAGGCACTTCTAGGCTTCAGGCAAACTGTTCTAAGAGATAATCTAACTGCTCTAATTTTAGCTTCATGCTCTTTTACAACTCAGGTTAATGTTTTGTTGTTTTTAGTCCCACAAACAAGCTCACAGCTACCAGCCATTCTTACGTGTCATGCTCAACTGCTTTTCTGACCCTCTATCAAGATATCTTCACCATAACCTTTCTGACAACACTGTAATGTCTGACTGCCACGGCAGGAATAATGTAGAATACAATTTTCCCACAGCAAAAGAAGATCCTTGGTTCTATGAGCCAGCAGGGATTTGTTTCAGCCTTGGAAAACTAGGATACATGCCAACGTCCATCACTACTCCACCTTTACACAATTTGTTTGGATCACTTTTCAATTCAAGACTGTGGCTGAATTCAATTTGCTAGTTGTATTTACTTTTTCTGTAAGGTTTTTTTTTCCCAGCAGGAGGGTGACCCTGTAACAGAATTAATCAGATCTGCCATGCCTCCAAACCACTGAGCAGCAATGGTAGAGCAGAAAAACACCAGCAACAACAGCTGAACAAAGATGGTGCCAAAAAAGGTAAGATTGCAAATCGCTCATCCCATTCTCTCTGTCGTGTTGAGTGCCTACCTTCACCATGCAGTAACCACAGCGCCGCATCTTAATGTTACTTGGAACTTGGGGTATCACCAGGCTTTGTTCTTCACTCTTGCCTGCCTACAAAAAAAGAGACAGGGAGTGACTAAGGAGGGTTTGTGTGCTGCTGCCTTAGCATGGCTGAGCTGTCTGGACCCCTTTACTTAACAGTTACACGTTGCTGGTTATCTCTATCATTAGGAAGGTTAAACAAAAAAATTCCTTAGAATTCCTACAGAAGCTGCAGATAGATAAGGTACAGGGAGAGAGAACAGGCTGCTGGAACCATCAAAAGAACATCTGCTCAGAGGCAGAAATTGGGATGAGATACCACACCAATCCCAATGCTACACTTTGGGATAAAAATAAACAAGGATTAGACTTCACTTCCAAACACAATAATGATGGGTTCTCAGTACAAGCAGTGCTACCTCTTCACAACACAGCCAACATTTACGTTAATTACAGAATCACAGAATGGTTGAGGGTGGAAGGGACCTCTGAAGGTCACCTAGTCCAACCACCCTGCTCAAGCAGGGACTCCTAGAGCACATGAACCAGGATTTTGTCCAGATGGTTTTTAAGAGAATCTCTGGGGAGATTCTACCTCTCTGGGCAACCTGTCCTAGCGCTCAGTCACCCTCACACTAAAGAAGTTCTTCCTTATGTTCAGGTGGAACTTCTTCTGCTGCAATTTATGCCCGTTGCTTCTCATCCTAGTGTTGGGTTAAATTGATAATGCCTTTGTCCTACACAATCTGTAAGGCAGCAACCTGCAGTGACACTTTGCATCTCCATTTACCCCACTGTTACTTGTTTGTGTACATGTCCTCTGAGAGGACAACAAATCTATAACCAGTTCAATAAACAGAGCTGCAGAGAGCACTTTCTTCCAAGCTTGCCATTCAATCCAGGGTTTTTTTGCACTTGTACCACTTAGTGGTGATTAGCATAACACAGGTCATGTATACATTCCATATGGTACAGCAGCCTCTGACACAAGGGAGAACTAACACTCAAATAGCACAGTGTGGTTACAACAGGAGTAGGGTATAAAGTCTGTGAACCCTACTGCAGTTACAGAATATGAATCAGAGACTGTTCAGCCTCATCCCCAATGGTTTGGGTACGTTTCCTTTATGCCAAGTGCAACAGAAACTGTTTCAGATTGTTCTTAACTAGTACAGTGGGAAAAAGGAAATCAGCCTATAGGCTGTATAGCCCCGGCACTTTCTTCCATTCATGATGTACCTTCTCTTCCTCTTCAGGCTTAACAAAACCCGGATCCATCAGAGACACCTTAAAGTACAGCAGGACAGAGCACAAAACCAGCAAGACGAAGATCAGCGGCTGCAGCAGCTCCCCGCGCTCCTCTTGCCTTTGCAGATCTGAAAGGGACCCCAAGGAAAGAGCAGCAGCGAACTGAAGCGTTCAGGACGGTTCTCTCCGGCCTCTACAAAGGGGTCCCGCGCTTACGGCCGGGGGGACGGGGAAAAAACGGGGAGAGGGGGCGGGGGGAGAAGCGGGCAAAGGACGGGGCCCCCCAGCGCCCCACA